AAAGAAAAGGAGGAAAACTGAACACAAAAGCCAGGATTAGAATGACATATTTCACAAGGCTGGTGTCACTGCATGAGATTTTAACCAATGAAAGAGATTCACACAAAAAATTATCAATTTCATTGGAACCACAATAATGTAGTTGCGATATCAAGACCAAACATATGGTGACCAACACAATGCTGTTGATCCAAGAGCAACTGGCCAGCTGGATACAGAGTTTACCATTCATAAGAGTTGCATAATATAGTGGTTTGCATATGGCTAAGAAACGATCATAAGACATCACAGAGAGCAGATAGCTTTCTGTACCAATCAGGAGAGCAACAACAAAAAATTGTATGTGACATCCTTTAACAGAGATGGTTTTGTCTCCTGTCAGGAGACTGGCCAGCATCTTGGGCAGAGAGGCTGAGCTGTAGACTGCTTCCAAAAAAGACAAATTCCCCAGGAAGAAGTACATAGGTGTGTGCAGGTGATGATCAGTCACTATGAGAAAGACCATGAGGATATTGAAAGCAATTGTCAAAATGTAGATCCCCAGAAACACAAGGAACAGAAAGATGTGCAGATGAGGGAGATCTCCAAATCCCAGAAGGATGAACTCTGTGATTTCACTCAGGTTTCTCTGCATTGTCATCAAATGCTACATTCTGAAAGAGAATTGGAAAGTGATATGAAAGTGATAGCCATTATACAATAGTTAAGTACCACTGAGTGAAGAAATGGAAGGGAGAAAGATTCCATCAACGGTGTATCTGAAAAAAAATGCACATCACTTGGAAAGACAGGTGAAGTAATGCCAATGTACTGAAGAATCATGAATTGTGCAGGCTGTTTATATTAGCCAGATTTAATATGTTTCCCTCGATGATAGTGAGAGGAAGATATTTAGCTCTCCCAGAATCAGAGCATCACTGCAAATGTAGTAAACAGGAACCTGATACTTTGGAGCATATTTTCTTTTCTTGAGATTTTGGCATTTATGCCAGAAGACAATTATTGGAGGCCTTACAACTCAATAGGCTGATTTCTATGCTACCAATGGTTCAGGACCTGCTTTCGGACAGGAATGATCAAATTACTTTAATAGTGGCTGAATTATTGAGTGCTGTCCATGTATAAAGAGATTTAGTGGTTCTTAATTTATCGGTAATGTGGTAGTGTTGTATTGTATTATTTATGCAAATTGATTTTCTCTGGAGTTAAAGATCTGACGGGGACAAACCTTGTTATGCTGAGCTTGTATTTTGCACAATTTGTATACGGTGTCTGTTTGATAATGTGTGGTTTGCTATGCCTAATAAAGGATATTTGATTTTTTGGCCAATGTACTGGAAGAAGCAAAGATCACCAGTGTTGAAGTAATGATTCTTCAACATCAACTTTGTTGGACTGGTCATGTTGTGCGGATGCCTGATTATCATCTTCCAAAGCAACTACTCTACTCTGAACTTAAAAATGGTAAGTGTAATACTGGTGGTCAACAAAAGAGGTTGAAAGGCACTCTTAGGGCAAATCTAAAAAAATGTAGTATAAACACTGACAACTGTGAAACACTGTCCTGCGAGTGCTCCAGTTGGAGAACAGCCTTTACCAAAGGTGTCATCTGTTTTGAAGACGCTCGAACTCAGCGCAGGGACATATTTCTTACTTCAGAATAAAGGGAGGAATTGACAATCACACATTTGTTTTAAAGCTTCAGTTCCTGCACATAATTAGCACTGAATGCAAATACCTTTATCGTGAATGGATGAGGAGCTGAAGTTTGTATTGAGTGCAATTTCTGAGATGCTGTTTTTAGGAGCAAATTTTCTTCTATCCTCATCTTCACAGACTTGATTGGAAGTTTCTTTCTCCATCGCTGCGTTATTTATTTTAGCATCCCATGGCATGTTTCTCCTCTCAGGCATATCAGAAAGAGGAAGCCTCTAGCTGGTTATTATATATTATTAGAAATCAAAGGTAAACGTTTTGAGAGATAGGGACTAATTGTCAGAGAGAGAACATTAGCTTGAAATCAAGACCAAACTCACATGGGGATCATGCATCCCTAGTCACAGATGTGGAGCACTTTGGGGATTTCCATTCTTAGAAATGTTCTTTACTGGATATTCAGATTTTATTAAGGGAAACAAAGCCCTAGCTCTGCCCGCATACAATATGCTGTTGATTTGGTGACTTAAAATGTAAGACTGTTTGAGTGTAATTAGTATAACTTTCAGGTAGGTAGCCAAGTTGCTCTGACACAGTTGAAATATATAAAAAGATTGTCCAGTAGCACATTAGAGACTAACTAAGCAAGTTCCGGGTATAAGCTTTCGTGTGCATGCTACTGGTATTACTTTATTTGTGCGAGTTGGCCTTGGGTGGCACGTATTTTTCATTCCGCTTACCTTTTCTCTACTGCTCTGCATCCTCCCTTTTGCCTTCAAAAATCATATTTCTGCACTGATTACTTCAAAAGGAAAAGGCAAATATTTATTTATTTATTTTTATTTTGTTTATTTATTTATTTAGTTAGTTAGTTGGTTATTTAGTTATTTATTTATTGGTTTTCACTTATTACAGTACAATACAAATGTACCAAAGCCAACACAATTTCCTCCCCATCCCCCCATACATTTACATTTATATTTCCTCAATCCATCATATTATTCTTTTCTTCCTCCTCCCACTTCCCTCCGCCCCCACTTGATTTCCTCCACATAATACAATTTACAATAATCTTTGCATTCTACAGTCTTCTCAAGTCATCTATATATTCTTATTATCTTTCCTTACTAATTTTTCTTCCATCCACTACTTCACATTTTAATCTAGGCCTATTAGCATATCTTAGAAGAAAGGAGCCATCAGTATTTGGAACCAAGAGGCACAAATTTCCCTTCCAAAATTTTCCAGCAACCTTTCTCAGAGCCTCTTTGACATCTTTATTTCTCAAGCTATATATGAGGGGGTTAATAAAAGGAGGGAGGACCATGTAAAGTAGTGGAAAGATTTTGTTAAGGTCTCTCATTGTTTCATTTTTTGGTGTGAAGTATGCAATGAATATTGACCCATAGAAGATAGAAACAACAATCACATGAGAAGAACAGGTGGAAAAGGCCTTCTGCTTCCCAGTGGTGGATGGGATTTTTAAAATGGCAGCAACGACAAATATGTAGGAGATAAGGGTCAAAAGAAAAGGAGGAAAACTGAACACAAAAGCCAGGATTAGAATGACATATATCACAAGGCTGGTGTCACTGCATGAGATTTTAACCAATGAAAGAGATTCACAAAAGAAATGATCAATTTCATTGGAACCACAATAATGTAGTTGCGATATCAAGACCAAACATATGGTGACCAACACAAGGCTGTTGATCCAAGAGCAACTGGCCAGCTGGATACACAGCTTACCATTCATAAGAGTTGCATAATATAGTGGTTTGCATATGGCTAAGAAACGATCATAAGACATCACAGAGAGCAGATAGCTTTCTGTACCAATCAGGAGAGCAACAACAAAAATTTGTATGTAACATCCTTTAACAGAGATGGTTTTGTCTCCTGTCAGGAGACTGGCCAGCATCTTGGGCAGAGAGGCTGAGCTGTAGACTGCTTCCAAAAAGACAAATTCCCAGGAAGAAGTACATGGGTGTGTGCAGGTGATGATCAGTCACTATGAGAAAGACCATGAGGATATTGAAAGCAATTGTCAAAATGTAGATCCCCAGAAACACAAGGAATAGAAAGATGTGCAGATGAGGGAGATCCCCAAATCCCAGAAGGATGAACTCTGTGATTTCACTCAGGTTTCTCTGCATTGTCATCAAATGGTACATTCTGAAAGATAATTGGAAAGTGATATGAAAGTGATAGCCATTATACAATAGTTAAGTACCACTGAGTGAAGAAATGGAAGGGAGAAAGATTCCCTCAACGGTGTCTCTGAAAAAAAATGCACATCACTTGGAAAGACAGGTGAAGTAATGCCAATGTACTGAAGAATCATGAATTGTGCAGGCTGTTTATATTAGCCAGATTTAATATGTTTCCCTCGATGATAGTGAGAGGAAGATATTTAGCTCTCCCAGAATCAGAGCATCACTGCAAATGTAGTAATGACAACTGTGAAACACTGTCCTGTGAGTGCTCCAGTTGGAGAACAGCCTTTACCAAAGGTGTCATCTGTTTTGAAGACGCTCGAACTCAGGACTTGGGGGAGAAATGCGCCCAGAGTGAATTGCATTTGGTTCCCATGACTAAATTAATCTACGGATTTCAAGGGACCTAAGAGCCAACTCCAGAAGTCTTCAGTGGTCTCTCAACCAAAGAAACAGAACGCATTCAGCGCAGGGACATAATTCTTACTTCAGAATAAAGTGAGGAATTGACAATCACACATTAATTACAAAGCCTTAGTTCCTGCAGATAATTAGCACTGAATGCAAATACCTTTATTATGAATGGATGAGGAGCTGAAGTTTGTATTGAGTGCAATTTCTGAGATGCTGTCCTTAGGAGCAAGTTGCATAGTCTGTTTTCTTCTATCCCCATCTTCACAGACTTGATTGGAAGTTTCTTTCTCCATCACTGCTTTATTTATTTTAGCATCACATGGCGTGTTTCTCCTCTCAGGCATATCAGAAAGAGGAAGCCTCGAGCTGGTTATTATATATTATTAGAAATCAAAGCTAAACATATTGAGAGATAGGGACTAATTGTCAGAGAAGGGAACATTAGCTTGAAATCTAGACCAACCTCACATGGGGATCATGCATCCCTAGTCACAGATGTGGGGCACTTTGGGGACTTCCATTCTTAGAAATGTTCTTTAATGAATATTCAGATTTTATTAAGGGAAACAAAGCCCTAGCTCTGCCCGCATACAATATGCTGTTGATTTGGTGACTTAAAATGTAAGACTATTTGAATGTAATTTGTATAACTTTTAGGTAGGTAGCCAATTTTCTCTGACGCAGTCAAAATATATAAAAAGATTGTCCAGTAGCACCTTAGAGACCAATTAAGCATGTTCTGGGTATAAGCTTTTGTGTGCATGCACACGAAAGCTTATACCCAGAACATATTTAGTTGGTCTCTAAATTGCTACTGGTATTACTTTACTCGTGTGAGTTGGCCTTGGGTGGCATGTATTTTTCATTCTGCTTACCTTTTCTCCACTGCTCTGCATCCTCCCTTTTGCCTTCAAAAATCATATTTCTGCACTGATTACTTTAAAAGGAAAAGGCAAATATTTATTTATTTTTATTTTATTTATTTATTTATTTAGTTAGTTAGTTAGTTAGTTATTGGTTTTCACATATTACAGTACAATACAAATGTACCAAAGCCAACACAATTTCCTCCCCATCCCCCCATACATTTACATTTATATTTCCTCAATCCATCATATTATTCTTTTCTCCCTCCTCCCACTTCCCTCCGCCCCCACTTGATTTCCTCCACATAATACAATTTACAATAATCTTTGCATTCTACAGTCTTCTCAAGTCATCTATATATTCTTATTATCTTTCCTTACTAATTTTTCTTCCATCCACTACTTCACATTTTAATCTAGGCCTATTAGCATATCTTTTTTGAGCAATATTTTGCCATATATTCATCAAAAGATTTCCACTCCTTTTTTAATTTTTGATTCGACTGATTTCTTGTTATAGCAGTTAATCTTGCCAAAATTAAATATTCATTTAGTTTACAAATCCATTCCTCCTTTGTGGGTATAGTTTGCTGTAGGTACGGAGAACTGAATTTAAGATTGGGGAGAAGTGAGAAAATAAGAGAATTCACCTATCTCTATCTACAACTGAACCATGGGAGGTGATAAGGATCTGAAAGAAGTGAAATTGGCAGATCTATTCATCCCTAGACATCCATAGGATTTATTTTACTTTATTCAATTATTTCAAAAGATGTACATACTGCTTTGTTGCATTAAAATCTCAAAGTGGTTTTCAGCAAGAATGAAAACTAAAATTATCAGTAAAAGCAGATAAATATTTAAAGCTTTTTTAAAAAATAAGAGTGATAGTATGCTAAAATCCAAATTAAAATACATGTCAATATTCCACATGCCTGGATACATAGGCCTAAAGGAAAATGTTTTCGGAGGGTGCCAAAAAAAGAGTACAGTGAAGGCACTTGCCTTAAGTAAATAAGCAGAGTTCAAAAGAGTGCATGAGTCTTATGAAGCATCTTTAGCAATCCCAGTTCCACAGACTGATGCAGTTAAGTGGACATAGATGGAGTAAGGTGATGTCACAGTTCAATTTATCCCAAGCTTTATGTAGCTACACCTTGAAGTAGGCCTGGTAGCAAATTGGCAAGCAGTGCAGGTTCTGATCAGAGGTGCTATACGCTGATAGGGTAGATATTCAGTTGCATTGTAGAGAACCTCTGGAAAAACAATCTGTCAATGCTACTCTTCAGAAGTAGCACTGAAACCACTGTAACAAAATGCCTCCAATTATAATTACTCAGAGTCATTCCAGATGGATACCTTCATCACTAGTATCAACATCTGAAGAGACACTAAGAATAACAAGCAAAGTCCCACTTCCCTGATTAACCCTCTGTGCTAATTTCTTAAATATATTTGGTCATAGGAAAAAGTTACACTGAAACAGATGCTTGAAACTTCACTTTCAAGCAAAAACGTATTATAATGTTTTCAACTTCCATGCCTTCACCACCCAACTAATTTCTATAATTTCTTGCTCTGAGATGATAATGATATGGGTGAGGGTTTACATAGCTAAGGCAGTAATCTAAATTCTGTTTATTTGGGAGTAAGCCCCATTGAATTAAATACAATGGACTTCTGCATAGACATGGTTAAAAATCAGAGTCTGAACAATCAGACATTTATCCTCCACACGCATACAGCTTTATTTCTTAGAAGAAAGGAGCCATCAGTATTTGGAACCAAGAGGCACAAATTTCCCTTCCAAAATTTTCCAGCAACCTTTCTCAGAGCCTCTTTGACATCTTTATTTCTCAGGCTATATATGAGGGGATTAATAAAAGGAGGGAGGACCATGTAAAGTAGTGGAAAGATTTTGTTAAGGTCTCTCATTGTTTCATTTTTTGGTGTGAAGTATGCAATGAATATTGACCCATAGAAGATAGAAACAACAATCACATGAGAAGAACAGGTGGAAAAGGCCTTCTGCTTCCCAGTGGTGGATGGGATTTTTAAAATGGCAGCAACGACAAATATGTAGGAGATAAGGGTCAAAAGAAAAGGAGGAAAACTGAACACAAAAGCCAGGATTAGAATGACATATATCACAAGGCTGGTGTCACTGCATGAGATTTTAACTAATGAAAGAGCTTCACAAAATAAATTATCAATTTCATTGGAACCACAATAAAGTAGTTGCCACATCAAGACCAAACATATGGTGACCAACACAAGGCTGTTGACCCAAGAGCAACTGGCCAGCTGAATACACAGCTTACCATTCATAAGAGTTGCATAATATAGTGGTTTGCATATGGCTAAGAAACGATCATAAGACATCACAGAGAGCAGATAGCATTCTGTACCAATCAGGAGAGCAACAACAAAAAATTGTATGTGACATCCTTTAACAGAGATGGTTTTGTCTCCTGTTAGGAGACTGCCTAGCATCCTGGGCAGGGTTGTTGAGCTGTAGACTGCTTCCAAAAAAGACAGATTCCCCAGGAAGAAGTACATGGGTGTGTGCAGGTGATGATCAGTCACTATGAGAAAGACCATGAGGATATTGAAAGCAATTGTCAAACTGTAGATCTTCAGAAAAACAAGGAATAGAAAGATGTGCAGATGAGGGAGATCCCCAAATCCCAGAAGGATGAACTCTGTGACTTCACTCAGGTTTCTCTGCATTGTCATCAAATGCTACATTCTGAAAGATAATTGGAATATGATATGAAAGTGATAGCCATTATAAAATAGTTAAGTACCACTAACTGAAGAAATGGAAGGGAGAGAAATATAATCTAGTCTTCAGTGGTCTCTCAACCAAAGAAAACAAAAAGCATTCAGTGTGACCAGATACTTCTTACTACTGAATAAAGTGAGGAATTGATAACCACACTTTTATTACAAAGCTTTAGTTCCTGTAAATAATTAGCACTGAATGCAAATACCTTTATCATGAATGGTGAGGAGCTGAAGTTTGTATTGAGTGCAATTTCTGAGATGCTGGTCTTAGGAGCAAGTTGGATAGTCTGTTTTCTTCTATCCTCATCTTCACAGACTTGATTGGAAGTTTCTTTCTCCATCGCTGCTTTATTTATTTTAGCATCCCATGGCATGTTTCTCCTCTCAGGCTCTATCAGAAAGAAGAGGTCTCTAGCTGGTTGTTATATATTATTAGAAATCAAAGGTAAACATATTGACATATAGGGACTAATTGTCAGAGAGAGAACATTAGCTTGAAATCTAGACCAAACTCACATGGGGATCATGCATCCCTAGTCACAGATGTGGGGCACTTTGGGGACTTCCATTCTTAGAAATGTTCTTTAATGGATATTCAGATTTTATTATGGGAAATAAAGCCCTAGCTCTTTTACTTATGAGTTATAAGAACAGCATGAATACAACATGCTGTTGATTTGGTCACTTAAAAAGTACAGTGGTACCTTGGGTTAAGAACTTAATTCATTCTGGAGGTCCGTTCTTAACCTGAAACTGTTATTAACCTGAAGCACCACTTTAGCTAATGGGGCCCCCCGCTGCCGCTGCGCCGCCACTGCACTATTTCTCTTCTCATCCTGAAGCAAAGTTCTTAACCCGAAGTAATATTTCTGGGTTAGCGGAGTCTGTAACCTGAAGCATATGTAACCCGAGGTACCACTGTAAGGCTATTTGAGTGGGATTGGGGTTACTTTATTTGTGTGAGTTGGCCTTGGGTGGCATGTATTTTCCTTTCCACTGCTTTGAATCTTCCTTTTTGCCTTCAAAAATCATCTTTCTGCAGTGATTTATTTAAAGGTGGTATCTATATCTACACACACACTCACACACACACAAACCTATGTGAAGGGTATCTTATAATACGATGTGTTTGCAAGTGGCAATGATCTCCTAAATTTCCTGGGTGTCAGATTCTCTCCATAATTTCTGAAATTCTTCGAAATCAAGTCAGCTTCCTCAGGAGCTGGGCTTAGAAAGGTGCCATCCAAAAATAAAGACCAGTCACAGCAGAGTCACTACCCTGACAAAATATGATACAAGTGCTCTAGCTACTTCATTTGGTATCTGAACCACATGCCAATATAGTGGTCATCCAGTATGAAAATTATATTCAAGAGTATCATATCCTTTAGAGATCCTTCAGAAGATCCACAAGCTATTTCTTTCTTTCCTCTTTATAATAAATGTGATCCTTGACGCATCAAGTATTATGCTATGGAAGATGAGCAGACTTTATATTTGGGAACATCCATTTCCTTTATAATTGATATATTACCCATATACAGAGCCATAGCTAGGTGATCTTGCGCCCCTGGAAGAACCCTCCAGATTGCACCCCCTAGCCATGGACAAATTAGCTCTTCTTTCTGCCTCTCCTCCATCCCTCTCCACCCATTCAGTGCCTCATGTACTTCACCTTGTAATGAATTCTTTTACAGAAAATCCAATATTTAATTTATTATTTCTTAATAAAAGGTTTTTGTGTGCACGTTCAGTCTACGTGAAGGACCCTCCAGCACAGCCAGCAGGTAGAGCACCTTCTTGCCCAGGGGCTGCCCCTTTTTGACTCCCCTACACCCAGGAGAGCCCTCTTCCCCCCAAGCCAACAGGGAGCGCGGCCAAAAGGCCATTCAAACTTTCAGTTCCTAACTTAGCAGCAAAAGGTTTTCCTCCACCTTTGAAAGGGGGTCGCTGGCAGCTTCCTACCCCCTCTTGATTCCTCTGAGCAGCCAATGACCCCCCCCCCCACAGTTCGATGGTTCAAAGGCAGGGAGCTCTGCACACAGAGCAAAGGGGCACCGAGACCATATAATACTGGTCCTGAAATACCTACATTGGCTCCCAGTACATTTCTAACCACAATTCAAAGTGTTGGCTCTCACCTTTAAAGCCCTAAAT